AGGATCAACTCCGTGATGTTCTCACCTTCTTATAATACCTGTCTGTGAGTGTAAAGAACAAATGATGCAGTTTTAGCGCCCACTTTTTGATAGGTCGGTCTACTATAGAACTTTTGTGAAACAGATCCCAGGATCTGATCTTCAGACACGCCAAAATAGAGCTACTTAATCTTTTGCCAACGGCAGTTGTAATAGTTTCGTTTAGCTCTATTCGCAAGCAGATATTTCCTCCATCTATGACGGTTTTTTCTCCGTTCCACAGAATTTCTCGGCTTCCCCTTTTTTGACGCACCCATTTTTCTCCATAAGCCTTCACATGTATTTTTGCATGTAAAATCCTTCCGCGTGAAGAAAAAGCACCTCTTGACCAGTACTGAGGAAGTTCTTATAAAGCCTCATACCGCATAAATTTTGATTTTGAAATTCTTTTAATTAAGCGGAAAATGGAAAAAGGTATAGGAAATCAGAAAACAATGAAAAGTGTGTAAAAATGACACTTCTCACTGTATGCGATGTGAGCTCGTCGATACTTTCAACTATTTGTCAATGTTAGGATCCATGGAAGTTGTTTGTAGTAAAGATAAAACTTTCGTAAAATACTCTTCAGTGATACTCGGTTTTTATGCCCTTAAAATACTGCACAGATCTGTACTTTGTTCCCCATCACTCGAAGGGAACAGATTGGTATCAAACTTACTAGGAAGTACAAACACAATGATTTACTATGTCACGAAGCTTTCGAAAGTTATTGGATAGGTCAAGTATTTTTCCACTAACCACTACAGTTACACTTTTGACTAGTAAACACTAAAAGAGTAAGAAAAATGAGGTAGTAATAGAAAATCTATACCTCATGATTATTATCTGAGCCATCCTGTCATGTGGCCTATTAATGGGCTTTTCTACAGCCCGATACACGTGTTTCGACCTTAACAGTCACGTCAGTCGGTCAGAACCCTTTGTCTTTTAGTTAACCCTATGTGGATGCCCCAGTCCGCACACTAAGAGTAGGCTACTACGAACGATTCACACCACACTGCAGCCAAGTGAAGTTCACTAGATCGGCAGTTTTGTACACTCGAAACGAACAGCATAATTAATTTCAAAAGACCCGCCAAGAGCAACCGAGTGTACAAAACTGCCAATATAGTGAACCTCACTTGACGGCAATGCAGTGTAAATCGTTCGTCGTCGCCTACATGTGGAGTGGAGCACCCACAGTGTATTGGCTAAAAGACAGAGGGTTCTGCCCGACTGGCGAGACTGTAAGGTTGAAGCAAACGTATCGCGCTGTACAAAAGCCTACTAACAGACCGTATGACAGGTTGTCTCAGACAAGAATTACGAGGGATTTATTGAAATTTGAGCGTCGTCTCAAGAAAATACTCGAAACTAACGGTGAAAAAACTATACCTAAGCAAAAGAAACTCATGAAGGACCTAACTTTTGAAAAAAAACTAAGCATAAGTAAGGTAAAGACCCAATAGAATCACAAAAAAGATTTCAGTTCAACCTTTGCTTTTAGATTCTTTTAATTCATTATGTAATGTAAACAAGCACTGATATTTTCGTTCCCAACTAAAAACAAAGCAAACATATTACATCCCACTGGGTCCATAAGAAACCATCATAAAATCCAGCCCAGGGATTTGATACCTTTATCGTTTCCACTTCTGTATGGTAATGGAGATGCCTGAAATGAGACTACAGTCATTCAGGTGGTTCATATGAGAAATTAACTCGATAATATGACCCTGAAGGATTTGGAACATTGAAAGGAGCTGCATTTGGAATGAATATGAAGTTTGGAATACCCATACAGCACCTATTTTCTGCTATCACAAGCGAGATGCGAAAAGTTGTAGATCAGACGGCGATTTGTGTGAATTTGAATCAAAATAAATATGAGAACAGTTAAGACGATTGAATGATTGATCGCAGTTGAAGTCGATTTGGGCACTACGTCAGAGGCCCTGACCATGCTACATACTCGCGGTCAATAAACTGAAGCATTCTGGAAATGCTTTGGCCGAACTGATAGTCGTGACATACATCTGGCATTTAACCCAACCAGGTCTCAAGGCCCCGCCCCTCCAGCCATATTTCGCAAGGCGCGAGGCCGTGGATCGCCGTGGTTGCCGTGGTCGCAGCGGCCGTAATTGCACACAGCACAGTGCATTAGACGACAGACGCTGAAATGCGAAATTTTCAAATTGAAGAAGGTGATCAACCAATCCTCGTAAAGGTTCCCACGCCAAGCTCCGGCCGATCGCGTGGCCCCGCTGTGTTACAGGCCCAGGATACTTTAACCTCTGGCCCCGCCGAAGAGTCGGCAGACAGCTACCTTGACCTCCTCGACGGCAGTATTGCTACGCCGCCGCCGCGTCTCCCGTTTTAGCCTGCTTCACCCCTTCAATGAGGTCTGTTCGGTTTTTCCTTAGCTGAGTAGTCTAAAACTACTTTTACCTCGTCGCCTAACAATCTAACCCATCAGAAAACGCCATTGAAGGGATGGTCTCATTGGAAGGCAACCGCAGTTCTATGAGAGGACCCAATAGCTCGGCAGCGACAACAAGCATGAAGACCACTTAATAAGATAGAGGACGTGAGTTACATATGAGACTTCTTTATTTATTTGCAGCTCTCTGAATTGAATTACGATAACGTTTTAGACAACGATCGCGTCAACGGGGACCGTCGTTTCCACGAACGCCACAGGGAGCGCCCTCCCACGGAAGCCACATAGGTTTCAAATTTACTTGAAATTTTCTACAAAAGTAATTTTTCCATATAGAGCTTTTGCGAGGTTTTATCACTTATTCATTCGAATATTAATCTTGACATTCGATGGATCTTTTTGAATATTGGTGGCTGCCGTTTCGGCGCGGTCGCCTTGTCGCCTTCCTCAAACCTGAACGTATTGTTGTGACTCTAATCATAGAAATATAATCATATTAATAGTTGATTATCATTATAATTATTATAATGACAATTACATGATTAAAGTTAGTATAATACGCCCAGGTTCTGAGGAAAGCCACCGCACCGAAACGCAGGCACTAAATCTCAAGAAGATCCGTCGATTGTCAAGAGCGACAGTCGATAGAATAAGCGATATGAATCTCACAAAACTTGAAGGAAAGATTGGTTCCTAAATTATTTTATTCCTTTTTCTTTTTCTCCGCATTATATTATTAACATGTCGAGGTTCAAGGAATGTCGCTTTTTTGAACAGTTATTTTTTTTCATAAAAAAGTTCAGCTATATTTTTGCGTAGGTTAGGCTGACTCGAGGTGCCTCACGCAGAGGGCAGATGGAGAAGAAGGGGTAATATAGAGCGACCCATTTTGCATGAGAAGTTTATTGAACTAGCCATATAAACATGAATGCGAAAGAATGTTTCCAGTGTAAAAACTTTTTAGAGTCGTTATTTTTGACATCACGTTACTGCTGCATACTTTATTTCATATTCTTGAATTGTATCTGCTGTCTCAAACCGTGTTTCATCTACCATTGAACTTACTCAACCCCTTGGGTGCCAAGTGGCATGCATATGCGCCGTCGTTCTCCACTTCTCACACGGAGTGAATGGTATATCTGGGCACGCTATAATGGTGATATATGAACATAATTGGTGAATAATGGGTTTTAGGGGGTGATATTACTTAATTTGTTTTGATACGGCAAAGAAGATTTTTGTAAAGGTTTTTTTTTGATTGAGGAACTCCCATATGCCAAAAATCACCTATATTCCAGAGTGAAAACTGCATCGCTGCGGACAGTAATTTATATTTTCTGTTATGTAACATTTGTTTCTTTTTCATAGTTCATGCTTTTATAATCATTCATAAGCCTGAGGTGCTCCAGCTCTGGCACATTGATTGGTTTGTAATCTGACCTTCATATTACGTTTGCTTAGTTGGATACTTGGATATTCAGTGCAGACTGGTAGTGCTGACCTTAGCATAGTTTCCTTTCGTTTTTTCTTGCTCACTTTTCGTTCATGGTAATGGTTTATTTCAACCATGGTAACGTACGCGGGACCCATCTCCTGATTCTAAACTCGTTGCCATCTGCTGATGTAGTTGGTTGAGGTTAGCTACAAGCACCCTCGCCTATCGTTTAGGTGATCTTCCAAGAAAGATTTGCATTTTCTCAGAGTCTATGGGATGCTGGGTCTTACTAACGCAAAATGTGACGTTTTGCTGTTGGTATATATTGGTTCTACTTCACAGCCGATTTTTTGGTATAACATGGCAGAATTATAATTCCAAGCAATCTTTGGCATGATAGAAAAGTTAAGAAATAATCTATGCTTTCATGACTAATATGCATTATTCTGGAATCAAACATTTTTCGAACTGTTCTGGGAAGTTTCCTCTTATTTAGCTATGTTTTACACTCCTTCAATTTCTCGAGAAATATTGAGTTGATAATAAGTTTGATTCGCTTAAGGCCTTTCATCATACATCCTAGAAACGAAAAAATAGATGCTGTTTTACTTATCATATTCACATGGGATGTTTTGATATTATTTTTCAAAATTGAAACTCTAAGTAAGTTTTCCTATTTACTCCTGAATTTTTTTGCTTTACGTTTATTACACTGCTTGTAAAGGATTTTTGAAGTGACGAAATATTTCTGAGACTATTAAATTATCTGAGAGAATTGAGTGGGCAAAAAGAGAAAAGAAGGAGAGCAAAAAGATAGCCTCAGGCCCGAATCGAACCCGCGTTTCATCCTATCCGGGGAGGCGTGTTCCACCACTACACCACCGGGGCACATTTGCGCGACCACTCATTCTTCAACATCTCTATTTTAGATATCAGCCACCAACCTTTAACAGGTTTGGTCGGGATATGATTTCGCTCTATAAAAACAGTTGAGCTGATAGCCACTTTTAGATATAATACTCAAGAATTTTAGTATCTTTACTGCTTTTTCGCAGTGTTGTGATGTTTCATGAATACCTAAGAGAACTGAGTGGTGAGCAGAAACGTAGCCTCAGGCGGGAATCGAACCCGCGTTTCATGCTTTCCGAAGACGCGTGCTCTGCCACTGCACCACCGTGGCACACATGCTCGATCACTCATTCTCCAACATCTCTACGTTAGATATCAGCCAATTCATTCTTCAACATGTCTAGGTTAGATATCAGCCAGGGTGGCCGGGAAATGTGCTTCGGTGGTGTAGTGGCAGAGCACGCGTCGCTGGACAGAGTGAAACGCGGGTTCAATTCCCGCCTGAGACCACGTTTTTGCTTACCACTCAGTTCTCTTAGGTATTTGTGAAACATCATCAGTAAAAATACTAGAACTCTTGACTATCAGTTGTTTAACAGCCATCTATTTTTTGCTTAAACAAATAGTCGTTTTTTAGATTCTATGGAGTCTTACAAATTCTTTTGTGTAAGAACTTTAGGATTACACTGTATTTAAAGATAACTGCTCTCGCGAGTGACTCAACAGTGAAGTAGAACCAAGGTATACCAATAGTAGGCGTTACCTTTTTTTCGCTGGTAAAACGTAGTATTCTATGTACTCTGAGGGAATACAATTGTTTTTTTCAACGATCGCCCAAGCGATGGGCGGATGTAGTTGTAGCTAACGTTAACCATCTGCATCAGCAGATGGATGCAAGTTTAAAATCACGGAATGGGCCTCGCGTGCGTTCGTATCACCTGTCGTCCGGTTGGTCGTCGAGTGACTCGAGCTGGTACCAGCAACAATTCCATTTTTCCCTATCGCGTGCAAGAGTAGTCCAGTGAGTCCTCCTCGTCCTAAGAATTTGTTGAGCATCATATCTTTTCTCTATACCTTTCGTGAAGAAATCGGGTCCGCGCGTCGGTAGTATTCCTGTTGAGCGCTTAATGTCCCGAGGAATCCAGTACGTAACGGCTCTCGTCCATCGGTTGTCGTTGAAGCGCATAACGTGTCCGGCCCACCTTATTTTCGATATCCTGGCGTGTACAACGGCGTCTCTGACTTTCGATCGTTCACGTAGGTCGGAACTTCGGATCCTTTCTGTCATTTGCGAGATACGGGAGACTCCTAGCATCGACCTTTCGACTGTGCGTTTAATAACGCCAAAGAATCTTTCATCCTGCTTACTTAGCGACCAGGTTTCTGCTGTATACGTTAGTGCAGGGATAACCGTCAAGTCGGAAAGGTGGGCACTGAGTCTGATGTTTTTTGCTGTTTTCACTACAAATTCGATGGTCGTAAACGTTCCGCAAACCACTCTTTCTTCCTGCTCAACTCTGGAGCTACGTCGTACATCATGTTCATTTCACGACCTATATAGATGTAACTGGAGTACTCGGGATTCGTCCGTTGAGCGTGAATGGGGCATTCAAAACTTATCCGTTCTTCATGAACATGGTTTTTGGTTAGATTTAGTTGAAGACCAATCTTTCCATAGCGTTGTCGAAATCGGTCAACATTCATTCCGCTTGGCTGATGTTTGGTGTTATGAGGACGATATCATCAACAAAGGGAAGATGGTTTAACTGTCGACCGTCAATTCTCACTCCCATAACGTCTCATTCTAATGTTCGCATGACGTTTTGGAGGGTGGCAGTGGATAGTTTTGGCGAAACTGTATCGCCTTGTCGAACCCCTCTTCTTACGTCAATGTGATGTTGTTGTAGAGTGGAGATATTTTGGTGGTGAAATCTTTATGAAGCTAACGAAGGATCATTATGTACCGAGTAGGGACGCCCTGGTTATCCAGAGCCTCTGTACGCTTCTGTTTCCACTGAATCAAAGGCTTTCTTTACATCGATGAAAGTGAGACAGAGTGGTTGTTTGTACTCTCGTGAAACTTCAATGAGTCTTGTAATCGTGTGAATGGTGTCTATGGTACTAAATCTTTTTCGAAACCCTGCTTTTTCGTATGGCTGTCCTTCGTCCAGTGTTCCGTCAATTCTGTTTAGGATGACTCGAGTGAAGAGCTCATATACTATGGACAGCAAGCAGATTGGGCCATAGCTGCCTATGTCGTAAAGGTCTCCCTTTTTGAGCAACAATGGAGTTTTCCTGGTTTTCCAATGAATGGGGACCTTGCATTCTGACAAACAGCAATTGAAGAGCCGAGCCAGGGTGTTATTGAGAATTGGCGCAGAATCTTCAAATGTTCTGGTCTGATCCTGTCTGAACCGGCTGTTCTTCTGTTCTTCGCCGACGATATAGCATGTCGGACTTCGGAAGGGAGGACCGGTGGAACGACATATTCATCCTCTTCCAATTTGTATAACGGTAAGAGGACATGGCTAGCGAAGAGATCCGAGTAGTACTGGTGGATGATTTTCTCCATTGCCCTTCTGGAAGCTGTAAGTGTCCCGTCACGACATCGGAGTTCATTCATCTTAGTCTTATAATCGGCGATGCCTCGCTGGGCTTTGCGAATACTTTCCCAGCTTTTACAGCTTCTGCCATAACTGCTGCTCGTCTCTCTTTGAGGTCTTCTTTCATCGCTTCTCTGCAGCGTTTCGCAAGTTCGGACGTAAGGTTTCGGTTCCCTGCAGCTCGCGCGATTCCACGTTGACGTATCAGCTTGAGTGCCTGCGGAGACGAGCGTCTCTTCGTGGCTTGAGGACTCTCGGTTTTTATAGCACTAACGTGAAGATATTCTACGAGCCGGTCGTATTCTTCGTCGATGTTGTCAAGAACGGTATGTTCCCAAGAGCTGACTAATGATCTAAATACATCACAGTTTGTGGTAGCTCTGGGACTTCGCTGTTTGAACTTTGCGGCTTTCTCTCCTCTCCTCGTAAAACGGAACGTTGCGCGAAGGAGGCGATGGTGTGAAACCGTGTAGAACTTAGGAACAACAGCGACATCGGTCAGGTAAAAACCATCGATTTACTAAGATGTGGTCTCTTTCGTAATGGTACTCTCCATTGAAAGACTTCCACGTCCATCGGTGGGAGAGGTTTTTGAAATTGTGAGTTACCATGGATAGTCTTTGTCGTCGTGATAAGCTCAGATAGCCTCTAACCCTGTTCATTCCATTCTTGTCCGTGGGTTCCAATGTGACGTTCTTCGAACGTCCTTCTAGCTCCAATTTCCGCGCTAAAATCTCCGACAATGACTTTGAAGAATGTATGATTTTCTTTGAAGAATTTTCCGTGGTCCCTATAGAACGCTTTGACTTCGTCCCATCATAGCTTGATCTTGGTGTCTAAGCAGCGAAGATGGTCAAAGGAGGCATAAAACCACATCGTTTCAACCGTAATCGTCCGATACGGGTTGTTAGTTGTTCAAACGAGTCGATGTTCACGGTCAAATTCAATTTGACAAGGACGCCAATGCAGCCGACACCTCTGCTATCGCATTTTCGAAGAAATAGGTCTTTTCAGGTGCCATGAACATCGTATGTTACCATGGTCTAACTCGACTGGTCGGCTCGTTTTAACAACTGAAAAACGAATATACAATATGTTGGGACTTGCACTACCAGTCCAGATCGACATCCATGTATTAAAAGATTCCATTAATAGAGATTTTGGTAGCTGTAAAGTGCTATTTATTTTGACTTTCTAGTGGCAAGTTTATACAGATTTGGTGACAGTATTTTCCCTTAGCTCCATGAAAATTGGGGGAATGTTCGATGCAATAACTGATCTTCATTCATGTCATCTTCATAGTCATGTCGTACGACACGTAATTGCATGTGTGTTACACGTCCACATATGGGCAACTTCTGACTGGAGTCGAAAGTTTTACATGCCATTCAGTGTCTCTGGATATAAATTTTACTTGTATTACCTGCTGTTCCAATGATCGTCGAGTGACTCAAGTTGGCACCAGCAACACTTCCAATTTACCTATCGCGTGCAGGAGGGGCGCAGTGGATCCTTCCCGTTCCTAGGGATTCGCTGAGCATCATATCTTTCTTCTTTCGCTTTCTTGAAGAAATCGGATCAACGGGTCAGTGGTCTTCCTTTAGAGCGCTTGACGTCCCGAGGAATCCAGTCGGTAAGGGCTCTCGTCCATCGGTTGTCGTTGAAGCGCATCACGCGTCCGGCCCACAGGAAAGTATTGTATGCCATTCAGTATCTCTGGATATATAATTTACCTGCATTACCTACTATTCCACTAATCGTTGAGTAACTCGAGCGGGCATCAGCAAAATTTCTAATTTTCCTATCGCGTGCAAGAGTAACCCAGTGGATTCTTTTCGCTCCAGAGATTTGTTGAGCATCATATATTTCTTCTGAGCTTTTATGAAGAAACGACTCCATCGAGTAGGTGGCCTCCCTGTGGAGTTAACATCTCAAGGAACATAGTCGGTAACGGCCATCGCCCATCGGTTATTGATGAAGCGCAATACGTGCGCGAACCCATCTTATTTTCGATAACTTTATAAAACGGTGTCTCTGCTCTTTGATTGTTGGCGTGAGTCAAGACTTAGGATCCTTCTTCTCATTTGCAAGATATGGTTTACTCCTAACATCGACTTTCGACTCGTCCGAATCAATGGTTATCACGAGATCAACGAAGAACTACAGCTCCAGGTTCAAATCGATTCGCTCCAAAGGCTATGCTCATCTTCTTTCAAAAGTGAACCAGCCGATCGACTGGGACTTGCTGCCAGCCGAGGAGACTAATCAACGCCAATCACTATTGTAAGCACCTGCAGTCAGTCCCTGTCCACGTCGACGTCGCCGCAATCTCGTCCTTGTTGAAGAGAACGAAAAGCCGCATGTCACAAAATTCACATAAGAGAAGTTGATTGAACTGAACTGGCAGCTTGTGAATTATGAACGATAGAGTTCTCTGACTTGTTCCCGTCTGACTGTTGATTAATCATTTGCGTTGAGAATTAACAACTTTCCTCAAATTCAAGGATGATGATTCTATGAGCGCGGTTTTCATCGCCTTAGAGATGGCAACAATGTGTTCAGGGCGATGGCGCATATCCTGAAAGTGTTTCTATACATTTCTAATTACTTCAAAAAAATGCGTGTATATTACTGCAGTGACAAAACTCATGAGAATACCTAATAAAAAGAATTTGATATTCCCAATAGCATCATGGTACACATTCTTCTAAGCAGTGTGCAATATCTT